TAGATAAAATGTACATACGACATGTATTAACCCTATTTCATTTAAGGTGATGAAGTAATAGTAGTAAAATATTTCAAAATGTAAAAAATGTAGAAAGCGCTATTCATAAAATCTCACGCTTTTTATGAATACAGTTAAGAAAGGCTGCTGATTTTCGGCTATATTCTATTAAAAATTCGTATGAAATCAATTGATCAACAAATAATTTTAGAGCAAGATAGGAAAGTCAATTTCGATGTTGTGCCTATCTACTAAAATATTCCTGTTCAAGGAGCCATTCAAATTCGAGTGCAAACGATAAAGGAGCATTCAGAGCTCATGGAGGGAATACGGTTAAGTATACTCTCTATCCTTACATTTTAATGTATCCATGAGTATCAGCTATTTTGCCTTTAATGGTAAGCTTATAAATAGATACAAGCACTTGCGATGGGACCTTGCTAAGCTTCCATTTTGGCCAGCAATTATATGAAAAACTTGTGGAACACTTTTCTGAAGATTTTGGTTAGATATATGAATGACTATATTGTTATCTGGCCTTATGGTATTAAAAGCTTATATACTTTCCCACTTTCACTTTACTAACGTGAAAGAAACATTAAGTTAACAATGGAAATGGAAGAAAATAGGTCCTTACTCAATTTGAATGTCCTTATCATTAGAGAGGAGGGAAAGTTAGGAAGATATGGTAGGGATTTTGAAGCTAATGAGTATTAGAAGTATGAGACTTGCGGATAGCAACCATTTGACTAAAGAGGTGCAACGGCGGATACCTTTTCGTATGTCATAATTTTGCTGTCATACCTTTTTTTTAAGAAAATAGGCGAACTAGTGAGAAAGTGGGGGATAAACACAGTGTTCAAAGATACCTTCACACTTTCTTCGATTATGACTGATTATCGAGATCCGGCTGTTGGTGAGACATGAAGGCTTATTCGACAAAGACTAGGGGAACACAGAAATGCTTGTAAAGCGAACTAGGTCCAACTATGAGAAGTGGTATAACACAGGCCAGAGACTGAACATGAGGTAGAATGGTCTCATAGGAGTAGGTTTGCCTATTATTGTGCTTCTGGTGTTTTGAAAGGAAGATAAGAGAGTCTATTGAAATTAATAGATTAGGGAATATGTTGAATGTGAGGAACGCAAGTAGAAAGTTAAGTAAGAACTACTTATGTTTGATTGGTAGATTGAAGTAGAGAGAGTGACAAGCATGGAAGGTTTGGTCAAATTGCATAGCTAGGAGCTTAGTCAGCCTAGGATGCTCAGGGTGACTTAAATATTGTGAAGAGCAATATTTTATCGCCTTTTTTTGCTTGTAGTCTCCTTTCGATGTGTATAAATGGTTTGAACTCGTCGATACAATTAGGCTGTGTTGTCAGAGCGACCTAGTTAAACGTATCCTTTTCGAAGTTCTCTGCCATAACCA